CTTGTCCCTGCAACTCGCTCTTTAGTTCTTTCCTTACTCTACCGTTCTTCTATTTCTAATTCTCACTGTTTTTCTCTTTCTTTTTAATACTGTTATTCTCCTTTAACTCTGTTTTGCTCCTTTTTAGTCTTTCTTTCTCTCTGTTCTTATTCTCTTTTCTCCTTCCCTTATTCTTACTCACCATGAAGAACAATCATGGTTCTCTCTTATTCTCATCATACTCACAATGAAGGAAAATCATGGTTCTCGCTCTTATTCTCATCATACTCTCACTAACCATGGAAGAACTCATGGTGCATGCATATATGAGATGTACATGCAATTATCTACTCTCTCATTCTTTCTCATACTCTCTTTTTCTATCTCATTCTTTCTCAAGCTTTCTCATTCTTTAATTCTTTCTATTATCTCATTCTCATTTATGTTTCTCTTTCTCATAACTCTTTTCTATTAACTCTTTTTTGTAGTCACGGCCTCATCTTACCGGAGGCACAGCCGGGAACTCAACCCGCTTTTCGTGACTTCTCCTTATTCTAGCCGATCGGACTTGGTTATGCATGGATTCGGAACCTTTGGCCATATGAGTATACAATCTCTCTCTCGGGTACTCGGGTATAGCCCTCATCCGCATGCACTCTCACGGGCTACACCACCTCTCTTTCTCATACTCATGCCGCTCTCTCAGTGCAGCGTACATGCAGGAATACTCTACCCATTACTCACGGGTTCCCTATCGCATAACCTACTCTATGCTCTTATCTCTCTTTTATTCTTTCTCATGCTTGCTCATCTCTTTCTCAAGCTAGTACTCATAATATAGCTTAACTCTTAGCTTTTATGTTCTTTCCCATTCTTACTCATTGGAATGTCACGACCTCATCTGACCGGAGGCACGGCTAGGCACTACCACTCTACGTGACTTCCGCTCATTTCTCTACCGATCGGATTTAGTCATGCATGGATTCGAAACCTTTGGCCATGTGAGTGTATTATCTCTCTCTCTGAATGTCACGGCCCCATCTTACCAGAGGCACGGTTGGAACCTCATGTTCCACTCTGCGTGACGGTCATGGCCTCATCTAACCGGAGGCATGGCTGGGGATCAAAAAGCACCCACTCTCATGACTCTACTTATCACTCACAGGTTCCCCATCACACAACTTACTCTATTCTCTTCTTTAACTCTTGTGCGCAAGATCTCTACTCTTTCTCTAGCTACTCATCATAATGTAGCTTAACTCTTAGAGTACTTCTCTACTCTTCCTCAACTTTTTCTCAAATTCTTTCTCAATGCACACTTAATGCATATGGATGGTTCATGCTCATTAATGCACTTAAGAAATGCCAATATGCAATGTTACAATAATTAAGGTTCATAACTCATTCTCATGCTTCTCTTAGGCATTTTATCAAACAACTCATGTGCATATCAAACTTCTTATGTAACTACAACTCTATTTCTCTCTTTAACCATCCAAAATTGGAAGAAAACTCCCTTCCATAGGTATAATCCCTTCCATAGAAGAACACTCCCAAAATATACTCATTCTCATCTAACTTCATCTCAACTCATCACACATCCACACTTCTTATAAAGGGAAAGCATCCAACAAACGTAACAAGTAGACATATATCTCTACTCAATTTCTCAAATACATACATAAAACATGCATACATCATTTCTACTAAATCTCTACTCAAAAGAATTCTCAAATCTCAACTTGGGTTAGGATTTACTTACCTCATACTTGAGTAATCTCCACTAAAGCTCTCTACTCTTGTTGGATCATAGCTTTCCCTTATTTCCTCTTCTTGCTTAGGATCACTTTTTTGTCAAATTCCAACTCTAAACTCTCAAAAATCCCTTGGAAGATTGAGTGAGGAATTGAGAGAAAATGAGGGATGAAGAGGCGGTGGAAATGGGTGAAAAATGAAGGGGTTTAGAGAACTCAACCCTTATTAGCTCATATAATATACACTCTTTCCCATTTTGCCCTTACTCTTTCTTAAAATTTTCACCTTTATCCTTTAATTCTTTACAAACTCACCCCCATTTTACACTATTCTCCATGAAATTTCCTTACATTTTAGTCCCACTTTTCCTGCTAATTAGGGGTAGAAAGGTCATTTTACCCATATGGAGAATTCTTTAGAAACCTCAAGGAACTTTTCTGCCGTCCCGTCGCCGCGGCGAAGAACTTTCTGTCACCCCGACGAAACAGTCCAGAATCGACACCGCCAACACAGAACCAACGTCGCCGCGGCGAAGCTTCTCCCTCGCCTCGGCGAAGGTTGCAACTCCAAAATCTGCCAAGTCTTGATCAATTCCAGGGTAAACACTCAACCAAACCCAAAACATAAACTCAACCAAGGGCCAACCAAACAACATGAACAACATGCAAACTCATTTGGGAGCAAGTCAGTAATCGTTTAGGCCATACCATAAACAATGGCTATGTATCTCAAGCGGGGCGTTACAATTTCAGTCCCCACGGATAAGAATTAAAGAACTTCAAATTGCTTGCAAACAACAACCAATCTTTCTCAATAGCTTTTGTTGAGTCACCAACCAATAAGATCGAATGTAAAAACAAAACCAAGCACACTTTTATCTTCTCTGTATCAGTAAATTCAACTGTTTCTAGCCTATTCTCTAAATCATGTGCTGTAATAGACTTATCCCCAAACAAAACCTTATTATAAAACTGTTTGGCTCCCCGACTGTTCCTTACTGCCTCTGCCTTCTTATCTGGCACTTCCCCACATCCTAAGCCCGTCACCAGGGCATATTCCATCATGCCAAAACGTAGTGGCTTTCCACCCACCACGAACCACATTTATTTTTTTTTTATTGCATTTTACTAAGTGCAGCAACATGTAATGCACTCCTTGCCCCAAAATGCCTTTTTCCAATGATTTCCGAGTCTTAAAAACTGACTGAAACAAGTGCGACCAAAATCTCTTCTACCATTCGTCATTCCATCGAAAATTTCCTGTATTCTATCAAAAACTTCCCAACTTGACCTGACCATCACCCTTGTAGGGAAGTAGGGCACCTTATCGCTTATAAGGTCCAACTCGTAGTCTGTATAGTCCACTAAACGCACAATTTACACAATCGATATAAACAAAATGTCAGCAACAAAAAGATCTCTTAAGCGACCAATAGTAAACTGAAAGAATCTCTTAAGGGACACAAAAGATCGCTTATTATATCTGTGATTCTGCCTCCACAAGATCGCTTAAGCAACCAAGAGTAAATTGAATCAATCGCTTAAGCGATCATTAGTGCAATCATGAGTACAACAGATTAATCGCTTAAGTGATACACATGATCGCTTAAGCAATAGTACAAGCAATATTCCTAAACAACGTAGCTCTTCTTTGCTGGCCTCCTCCTTATCGCCTGAATCCTCGGACGACTCCTCCTGGCCTGAATTCTCGTCGGAATCCTCCTCCTGGCCTGAATCCTCGTCTGACTCCTCGTCTTCAGAACCGTTTGCCGGTTCTTCCCTCTGTTCTTGTGCCACCGGCGTCTCCTCTGCGTGTGGACTGCCTTCACTGATCGGATGATCCACCAGAGCAGCCATTGAACTGCTTGCGCCACCGGAATCTAGGATTCAAAGTGGCGTTGGGTTTTCCTCCTCATTGTCAGTGTCAGCCATGGTTTTGGATTGAATTTGGTGTCAAAGTTTGCAGTTTTGATCGGAAATGTGGATTGTATCATCGGAAATCGCACAGATTCCGTTTAGGGTTAAGGAAATCGATTTTAGGGTTCAACAAATCGATCGAAAATGGCGACTATATCGCCAGAAATCGTGACTGTATTCGGTTTAGGGTTCAAGAAATTGATTTAGGGTGCAAATTTGTAGGTGTTCGATTGGAAAAAATCGCATCTCCCTTTCGTTCAAGAAATCGCTTTTTGAACTAATGAATTTCGATTAAGCGAGGTGAATAGTTAGTGGGGCTTGTTTTGAGAAATTTCAAATTTTAAAAACTTTCATTATTTCTGATTCGGCCCACATATGTTTTAATCTTTTCATTTTAACTCATTTTACATGTTTAATTAATCCTAACTATGCCACGTCATCTTCTCTAAATTAAAAAAAAAAAATGATAAACAGTTTCAAGGCCATTTTCTTAAATCGAAACTTGGGATGGCCGGGAAGCTAAATTTTCTCCTTTCTATTATTCCAGATTTTTATTTCATTTTTTTCAGAATTTTTTTTTCCATTTTTCAGACTTTTCAATTTTTTTATTTCATATTTTTCAATTTTTTATTTATTTCTTTTAAAAATTTGTAATATTTTAGGTAATTTAACAATTTTTAAGCTTAACAAAGGTATTGACATTGAGAATAGAAAGTACAAAGATTGATGGGTATATCAGATAAGGGCATTAAGGTCATTTAGTCTCATTTGGTTAAAAATAATGGAAGAAAATGTAAGAAGTTGACTGCAGCGATTTAGAATAACTTACCAATCTTATAAGGTGTTTGTTGGATCTAGGCAAACCTCGGAGAATTTAAAGGACTAACCCCAAATATATAAAGTCATTTCGTTTTTTAAGCTATTTTTGCCAATTACATATCTTCGCTCCAACATCTACTGTTCTTTCTTCTCAGCATCCACTCTAGCGAGACCATCGCCCTCATTTTCCATTTTCTACAGAAATCTTACTCTTTGTCATCTCGCCGATTTCTTTTTTTCTGTCTTATAATTGTGTTGCAAAATCATATGTACTTAAATATTGAGCATTTAGGTCGAAGTTTATTAGATAATTGATTGAATGAATTTAAATTTAGTAGAGGATTTTGTGGCAATTTATGTTTGCAAATGAATATGTAGACAAGAATATATGTGTGTTTGTGTGAGTAAGACTTCTTTTCATTCTTGTTTTCGATTATTTCTTATGTTTTTTTAACTTTTTTATGCTCTATTTGCTGACCTTTCTTGTTTTCTATTTGATCGTGTAGGGCATTGGTCATAACACTTCCAAATATGTCTTCTAGGCATAAGCGTTTTCCAAGTGATGCAATGAATAAAAAGTATACAGTAGATAAGACGATTAGAGATGGCAAATATGGTCTGATTGGCAATGGTGTTGAGAGAGACACAGGTCAGCTAGTGGCTTTTAAATTTATTGAGAAATCCAATGAACTTGGAGAACTCCCAAACTTAGAATCCCCAAGCTTGATCACACATGAAACCTCTAAAAACATTGGGTTGAACCATCCGAATGCCACCAGGTATAAAATAAAATTGTTTCCTGAGTTAAAAACTATAGAAAATTGCACTAGTTTTAGGATTATGTCCTAAAATTGTTTTTGAAATATTTAATTAAACCATTTTGTTAAATTTCTTGTATCAGTTGTTTTTGAAAACGATAAAATGTATTTAAATTCTATATGGAGGAGGCTCTTATAAATTGTTTTTACTTAATATTGTTGTGGGTGAGACTATTTTTTATTTTTCTGAATGCTTGTTAGCTGTTCAATGTGTAAAAAATCTTTTATTGAGTAGTAACTGTGTTTCTTTTAAGAAAATAAGTAATTTGATAGAAATGTTGTTACAGGTGTCTAAGAATAGAAATTGATGATACTTTTTTGTATCTTGTTTTTGAGAACCTACCATGGGATTTGGATGATTTTAGAAGAGGGTAGGCGAAGATTGAGAATCAAGTCTCCATAAAAGGTATGTCAAATCTTGATATCAAAAGTATACCAATAAAAGTTGTTTCTTAATTCATGTAATTTAAGTTATTATTGGTTGTCGCTGGTTCAACTGAAGATTTCACTTGAGCACGTATATACTCTTACAGGAGGTTTTAATTAGATGCATTACCATATCATTTCTTTTCATGGGATGTAAATGTGAATCAATATTCAAGACGAATCTTATAACATTATAGTTTCAAATGCCATTTTAAAACTCTGAAATATGGGTTCAATACATCCTGTTTAGCAAAATGACCTATTTTATTTGCTCATTATCAGTCAATAACATATTCACAAACCTCATATATAGCTGAAGTTTCCATTTCCCATCTTATGGGGAACTCTTTTCACTCCGTCGATCTCTATCCCCCTCTAGGGGTTACTGCAACAAAAATGACTATTTATGAGGGCTAAATCTTGTGGTAATAGAACTTGGAAATATGTTTTTCCAAAGGGCTAAAAGTTGTAGGAGTCTGCCGTTATTTCTATTGTTGGAAAATTTATTTTTCTTGGGAGCGGTTGGAAATAATACTATTTTTGAGATACATCACTCTGAACGATAAGAACATTTACAAAGAGGGAAAACCGTTGAAAGTATACTATATACCAAGAGGCATAATCTCAAAACAAATACTAGTAGTAATATGTTCTTGTTTGGTCTAATACCTAGCACACACCTATTATCTTTTGATTACAATATTTTTTATGGGTAACAACCTGAATGTTTTTTTTTTTTTTTTCTTTTGGCATAATGACAGTATTTTAGTTTCAAGAGACCAAATTTAAACTGAGTAATTGAAAATTTTCAATAAATACTTGATTTCATTATCTATGTATATGCTTGAAAGATGGTTAATAGCTATAGATTTTGACCAGATTTCTTTCAACTGCAGCATATTCTTCAAGGGATTCTTCATGGTATAGAATATTTGCGGTCTCAAAATTGTGTCCATGAAGATTTGAGACCTGAATTTGTGCTGTTTGATTTAGATAGTATGAAAGGAAATGTTGCTTACTTTGGATAGCCCAAGAGTATGGACGATCTTGTGAATGATTGGTGTCTGGATAACCCGGTATTAATATTAATCTTTCACTCTTTTGGTTTTCTGTTCCTACTGTTATATTGAAAGAAAAAATCTAGAATACTACAAAGGTATTGCATCAGCCATATCATCAGTTTAGTCTATGTCTTTCTATCATGTGACATATATATTTCATTTGCAGGCAGTAGCTTTGAAGGCCGCTAGTCTTTATTACCAGGCACCTGAAAAACTTTTTAATGGAAGCTCTAAGGTAGTTGATACATGGGCTGTGGGCTGTATCTTTGGTGAGATGCTAACTGGGCGGCCCCTGTTTCGTTCTAATAATTGGTTACATTTGCTTACGAGTATTTTCTTGTATTTTTCTTTACATACATCTTAAAAAGTTTCATTTATGCTATATATGCAATGTTGAGATTCTAACTTAAATTTCCTCGCCAACAGTTATATCAATTGGGATCAAAAGTTGGGATCTCAATTTTCGATACTATTTAACAAACTTGAAAATTTCTCGTACAGGGTCTTGGGCGAACCAAAGCCAGAAGTATATGGCAAAATTGAAATTACTATTGATGGTCTTTTAACCCTTTCAAAAAATTTTGATTATAAGATACATAAGAGAGGTTAGAATTTAGTTATTTTGAATGAGATTGAGTACATTATGTAAATTATTTTTTATATTGCAGGACTTGGCAAAAGAGTTTCCAAATCTCGAACCTACTAGAGTTGACCTTATCTCAATAAGTTTGATTTAATTTACTAATTTGTCATCAAATTAAGCAGATTTTCTGACAAATTTTTTACTTTTTTAAGTCATCTTTTGGTGGTTTTATTCATGTTTAAATTTTTACCAGAGAATGCTATACTTGGATCCATACCAAAGGATAACACCTCAAGAAGCACTTGAGCATGAATATTTTAAAGATCTTTAGGATATATTTTTATTAATCTTCCCTTTCCCGACAGGCTTTTTTTAATTTGTATTTTCTGTATTTCCCAACACAACAATATGCTAGTTTCAGGATTTGTGTTAATGTAACGCCCCACTTGAGGTACGTTGCAAATGTTTCTTATTTCGCTCTTATTTGAGTCGGTTTTTATGAATAGTGGTGGGTTGGTCTTTGGTTGTACTGATATGTTGAGTTTTTGCCTTGAATTGAGTCAAATTAGAAGGCTTTTGTTGTTACAGGACTCGCCGGGGCGAAGGATAATATTCGCTGCGACGAAGAGGTGTTGAAGCCACGGGGAAGCTGCTGGACAGTTTTGCCGCGGCGAAGGAAGCTTTTTCGCCGTGGCGACGTGCCGGTTGAAAAGTTTATTGAGTTTTAGATATTTTTTTTCCCTTGGGTACTATTTGACCATTTTACCCCTATTTAGCAGGAAAAGTGGGGAGTAAAATGTAAGGAAATTTCATGGAGAATATGTTAGTATGGGGGTGTGTTTGTAAGGAATCAAAGGATATGGATGGAATTTACAAGAAAGAGCAAGGGCAAAATGGGAAGAATGAGTTTGTTAGGAGATATTTAAGGGGGTTTAGTCTTTGAGAACTTTTCATTTTCCCATTCCACCGCCTCCTTCATTCTCCAAATTCTCTCAAATTCCTTCAATTTCTCGTACACACAGACCCAACCTTCAGCTTCCCAATCAACCCGCTCGTACAACCGCGGGGTCCGGACTTTGACAGAACCAGGGATATGATACAGTGTACGGATACGCCACACGTCACTATCCTTCAGCACGGGCGGATAATCCCTGGTCAGAATCCCACTGCCCTGCTAGCTCGGCTCTTCCTCAGAGCTACTACCGGATGAAGAGGGACTGCCAGCCCCTCCAGAGTCTTCCCCACTCCTACCATACCGACCCGAGCCACTTGGCCCAGCTCCGCCCGACCTTGGAGCGACTACACTAACTCCAGTCGGTACGCCAACTGGGACGCTACCTTCAGGCATCATCACGATAGTCGGGGCATGCTCATACTCGTCCCCGACATCAACCACATCTTGACTCGAACCTGCTGACGTATCGTTTGACATCGGATCACTTGCCCGTCGCAACCGACCGACTTGTTCCTTATGGAACTCAAACTAAACCACTAGTGTCAACCTAGCTACCGGTCGCCCTTCAACACCGCACGATGCCCCTCAAAACCGGCCTCTTCAATCTCAGTCGACCCGTCCTACCGAGAGGTGGAATCCTACATAGCCAGTCGTCCCACCTAACCGACCGACCGACCGAAAGAAAAAGCTCGCTACTAGTCGACCTACCCGACAACGAGAGCCCCTGCCCTGGGTCGATCCCTCCAACCTAACGACCCTAAGCCAAAATCAGTAGAGCACCAACTCGCTCTCCCCAGACGACCGATCCACCTCCAATTTCAACCTTAGTTACCTACTCACCCCGATCACCAATCCCTCAAACCTAAAGACTCACACTCGCCCTGGATGACCGATTGCCTAGTCCACACCACACGCCTCCTCGCCACTCGGTCAGACGTACCGACCGACCCAAACAACGCCTAAGTCGACTTCGTCTTCCAGGCCCAATCTAAAAAACCTAGAAAATATTCAAAACTGCCGGATTCTTCCCGGATATCCACCGGAAAATTCAAACCTACGCCTATTCTCCAAAATCCTAACACCAAAACACTTGGAAACCCAGTTTAAACCCGTTCAAAAGTTCAAAACACCTTTATCCTACCTCCCAAAAATTTCAACAAAAAGGAAATCTACCTACAGAACAGCAAAACGGCCTAAAAAGAAAAAATTACCTTGGATGATTGTAGAAAAGACCACCTTCGCTCAAGAAACTGGGACAAAAACGAAGCAAAAAGAGAGAGAAATTTTTTGGATGAAAACACAAAACCAACGCGAATGGAAGATGAACAGTCTGCTCCCCAATTTTGTAAAGAAAATGTAAACATGTGGCAAGCTGTGATTGGTCAGTTGTCAGGAGTCTCTTCGTTTTCCCGCTCTCGAAACGATGGACCGATCGCCACCATACACGTGGCAGCGATCCGAATCACCTGGGAAACCGTTGTTCCGTATGGAAGCTGCGTCTCGATCGCCCGTTCCTTCCGACCGACTCAGTTTGTACCGCCCAGAATGAATCCGACATGTGTCCAATCTTCACGCGCCAACAAATTCACTTGGCCACTCGATCCACCCGACCGACTCTTCAGTTCAGGAGCCCTCCCAAGCATCCTATGCTCAGCCGGCTCGGAAGGCCTGGACGACCGATGCATGAGTTGGGAATGGTTCGGGTCGAGCCACCTTCAGAACAAAATTGAGAATCTCGCCCAATCATCCATCCGTGGAGAACGAGTGGACAACATGTAACCGAGATGCCTCACCCACTTAGTCGTCCCAGCATCCCGAACTTCCTGAACCTGTCCGACCCGACATGACGAATGAGTGCCTCTTAACGGTCCCCTGTTAGTCGTGCGGATGTACCGAACGATCACATCTGGCTCTCTACTCTTCAGCTCGCCGAACCGATCAGGCACCTCACAATGATAGAATACTTTGGGTCGGGAGTGGATACCGAACGAGGTCCAATCAAGGATCACCTGCAACGGTCAGAGCGATCACTTCAATGATCGTTCGTCCATGAGGGAAGACCAAGCTTGCCTTGAGCGTAACCTACTCTCTGACTTGAGTTACTCTCAACTTAGAGAGTGGGGGACAAACTGTTAGGGCCAAAAATCGTCCTTGGCCCAAATAGGGAAACAGGATCACTAGTGAAGAATGACCAGGCCCAGTCTTGCAGAGGCCCAATTCGGATTGGCCCTATTTGATACGAGGTATAGCCGGCCCAAACTACATGGGCGCGAGCCTCTTAAGCCCTGTCCAATTCCTGGGCCTATGGGTGAGTCCAGAGCCCATAGCCCCTTCAATATTTTCCCATTCTTGATCAATCCCCTATTCAAGGCCGCCTTCCCCTTTCCTGGTGACTTTCCCACTTGGGAGTCATTCTCCTAATCAGAATTAACTTCCTATCCGGACACTGATAAGACAGCTGATTACGACCCTGATTCTTCTAGGGTTAGCATCAGAGTCGCATTAGGACTCCTGCTCCCACCAGGATTGGGAGACCAGACGACCACTATATAAGCAGAGGCCAGCCCTCTCACAAAGGATCATCGACATTACACCTTCACACCCTAGACTCTTTAATTGAGAGTTTCGCTTATTCGCCGTAGTCACAGTCCCCGACTTGACTTCCGGTAATCTCTCATTCCCTAGCCCTCACTATATTAGCCTTTCAGCCTTGCTGACTTGAGCGTCGGAGTGCCTATAACAAACACCATCCTGGTGTTTCCCGTTCGCTTCACGCGTGTGTTTCTCTACGTGTGCAAGTACAGCAGATCGCTAGTGGCCTCAATCTCACGGGATCAGACCCCCCTTTCCGTACAGGTAGATTTTTACGTCTGCATATAACTTTTTCAGTTCATTGAATTTTAGGAAAAAAGTGAGTATTAAGTTATTAAAAAAAAAAAAAAACCGAAAATAGAAATTGAGTTAGATTCATTTCAGTTTATTAAGTCATCATCACCACGTGTCAAGAAAATACGTTCCTTGCAGAGTTGCATTTACGCCTACGTTAATATTTCTTGGAATTAATGCTTAATGTGATTAATTAAGATGTTGATTAACAGCTACTGCAAGTCTTCTTTGTAATCATATAATATTTTTTATTACCATACTAAGGGAATATTATTTAAGATTTATATTTATGTATATAAATCTTAAATAATAATACTAAACTCAATTAACAATAACAAGATACTTTTCGAAAGAGTGAACGATTCTTTTCCCACCCAAGGTTTGTCTTAAAGACACTTTTCCACCTAAAAGTTTCAAAATACCATTTTTTCACCCAAAGTTTATATTACGTTACTACCTAAAGTCGATTTCGGCTGATTCCGACAATAAAAATTCTCTTTATCACTATTATTTGAACCTCCGGTCTCCTCTTTATAAAACCTCTCACTTTGGCACTTGATTTCTCGTCAATTGTCGATCATTGCAAAGCTAGAGTTCATGTTCTTAACTGATTTCTGATTGATTCCAATTACGAATATCCAATCGGTCACCACATTCGATCCATCAGCCTCCATTCTACAAAACCTCTCTTACCCTGGCTCATGGTAACTTGTTAATCTCTGACTGAGAAAGTGAAATATATTTTGGATAGTAACGGAATATTAACTTTGCTTGGAAAAATTGAATTTTGAAACTTTTTGGGTGGAAAAGTGTCATTAAGGCAAACCTTGGGTGGGAAAAAGTAGTTTACTCTTTTTGAAATAGCATGAAAGATAGCTAGCTTTCTTTAAGGCTGTGGCATTATCACTATCGCATACAGAAAAGAGATTAATAACTCAAGATTATTTGCTTCAGTTTGAGCCTTTTTGTGGGATTGAATTATTTCTTTGTTTGTTGAGATGAAAAATGTAATTTCTTTCTATGTTTCCAAAACAACAAAGTTTAAGTGATGTATAAACTCTTTTTGCTCAAATTTATATAAACTATTTGATTATATTTAAATGGAAGATGGTTAAGTTATCTCTCATTTTAAGTCGATAATGTTTAAAAGAAAAGAAAATTTCAAAAATGCCTCATAAAGATGTAAAAGTCTAGGAGAACAAAGGAAAAAATATTTAAATATTTTGCAATAACGTGAAGGTAGAAGAAACCACTAATTATTTTTCTTCCATCAATTTTACAT